GAAGAGTAACTAGAGCACACAGAGTAAATAAACCACAGTGAAGGAGAGTCATGGAATATGGCAGACAGTTAGTAGCCCCCCTTACATCTCCCCAAGAATAGGAGATGCAAGGAATGTCTGAGAGAATCTATAAAATACTGAAGAAAGAAGACACTGAAATCAAAAAGCAAGAGTTAGACAATATGTAAGAACAGGTGGGTCTGGAAGATAAACATGAAAAGGATTCTAACTTAAAGCATGCCAGTCAGCTAAATAATAGTTTAGATAAAGACAAAGAAAAAAAGGAAATGGAAAATCTAGAGATGTTGGGATGTGGGAGATAGAATTATATATAACAGAAGCCCCAAATAAGAAAACCAGAGAATTGGGGACAGGCAGTATTCAAAGTGTTTTCCACACAGGAACATAAACTTTTGAGTTACAGTGGCTTTCCAGGTCTGAGCAGCGAAGCAGGGTATAAAATCAAATCTACACCTAAGTGTTGCAACAAAACTGCAGAACACTAAAGACAGAGTAATTCTAAAAGCATCTAGAAGGAAAAAGACAGATTACCTGCGGGGCGCCTGGGTGGCTCAGTGGGTTAAAGCCTCTGCCTTCGGCTCAGGTCATGATCTCAGGGTCCTGGGATTGAGCCCCGAGTCAGGCTCTCTGCTCAGTGGGGAGCCTGCTTCCCTTCCTCTCTCTCTGCCTGCCTCTCTGCCTACTTGTAATCTCTGTCAAATAAATGAAATCTTTAAAAAAAACAAAAAAAGATTACCTGTGAAGAACTAGTCCTCTAAATGAGTAGATAATTAAACAATATAAGAAAGAAGAAACAAAGAAGGAGCAAAGAAAAATGTGATACATGAGAAGTATAAAATAAATGACACTACTTAGACATATGTTAGAACATGATTAAGTATTAGTTGTGTTGCATATATATGTAAAACAAAAGTATGACAGAGATGGGAGATTATTTCTTTTTTGTTATTTTATTTTATTTTATTTTATTTTATTTTATTTTTTCAGTGTTCCAAGATTCATTGTTTATGCACCACACCCAGTGCTCCATGTAATACATGCCCTCCTTAATACCCACCACCAGGCTCACCCATCCCCCACCTCCCTCCCCTTCAAAACCCTGTTTGTTTCTCAGAGTCCACAGTCTCTCATGGTTCTTCTCCCCCTCTGATTTCTCCCAATTCACTTTTCCTTTCCTTCTCCTAATGTCCTCCATGTTATTCCTTATGCTCCACAAATAAGCGAAACCATATGATAATTGACTCTTCTTGACTTATTTCACTCAACATAATCTCCTCCAGTCCTGTTCATGTTGATACAAAAGTTGGATATTCATCCTTTCTGATGGAGGCATAATATTCCATTGTATATATGGACCATATCTTCTTTATCCATACGTCTGTTGAAGGGCATCTTGGCTCTTTCCACAGTTTGGTGACTGTGGCCATTGCTGCTATGAACATTGGGGTACAGGTTGGCCCTTCTTTTCACTACATCTGTATCTTTGGGATAAACACCCAGTAGTGCAATTGCAGGGTCATAGGGTAGCTCTATTTTCAATTTCTTAAGGAATCTCCACACTCTTTTCCAAAGTGGCTGCACCAACTTGCATTCCCACCAATAGTGTAAGAGGGTTCCCCTTTCTCCACAGCCTCTCCAGCACTTGTTGTTTCCTGTCTTGTTAATTTTGGCCATTCTAACTGGTGTAAGGTGGTATCTCAATGTGGTTTTGATTTGAATCTCCCTGATGACTAATGATGATGAACATTTTTTCATGTGTCTGTTAGCCCTTGTATGTCTTCACTGGAGAAGTGTCTGTTCATGTCTTCTGCCCATTTTTTGATGTGATTATCTGTTTTTTGAGTGTTGAGTTTGAGGAGCTCTGCATAGATCTTGAATATCAGCCCTTTGTCTTTAGTGTCATTTGCGAATATCTGATGGGAGATTATAACCTTGTTACACTAGAAGGGAAAATAATGGGAGGAATGTAAGGGACTTTATATTTGAGATTTTATTGTTTTGTTAAAATATGAAGTAGGGGCACCTGACTGGCTCAGTCAGAGGAGCATGGGACTCTTGACCTCAAGGTCGTGAGTTCAAGCCACACACTAGGTGTGGAGATTACAAAATAAATATATATATATATATATATATATATATATATATACACACACACACACACACACACACACACATATACACACACTTAAACATTTTTTTGAAGTGGTTCTCACCAGGACAGGACTTGGTGTGAGAGTGCAAATGGAGAAAAAGTACCCCGTCTGAGAATGTGAAAGTTGTAATTCAAGCTGACAAATAGCCATATACCTCGATTAATATACCTTCAAAAAGACTGTGGTGCTTTGTGATTCCCAGATTCTTTGGGGGTTGGAGCCAGAAAGTGGTGGCATGGAGAAGAGTTAGCAGACCCCAGCTCTGTCCTGCACTGGGAGGGAGTTGCACACATGTGTTTGGACACCCTTGTCCATACATGTCCCACGCGAAGAACCACCCATTGGCCACCCACAGGCCTAGGAGAGTGCACAACACCTATAGGATCTGCTCTTAGGAAGACGGAGCTAGTGAGGAAGTCAGGCTGGCCTTGGATGCCAGCTTGGAGAGATGTTGCTCAACAGGGATTTCTGGTGTCCCAGATTCCTGAGCCGGAGGACAGGCATGGCCTCTGGGTGGACATGTCTCGTTGGCTCTGTGGAGCCTTTGCCACCTGGCAGGAAGGGCTGCAGGACAGAGTGGGTCCCTCTAAAACAAGGGGTCAAGTGGTAGACCTATCGTTTGCTAAAGCTGAATAGGTTGGTGGACATTCACTGTACTGGTTTCGATGAGTTTGGAGTGTTTTGTTATAAAAGAGAGAGAAGCATATACCATTTCACGAGGAAATTAGGGACATCTGCCCGGTGCAGAGGCAGGGGCAGGAACAGTGCCAGTAACACATCCTGTGACCTTTGTATTTGGTACAGCTGAGTCTCTTCACCTGCCCAGTGATAGACCAACTTGTGTGATTTCCGACTTCTGTGGTCCTGCGACATTCTCGTTGCCACACAGAGCTTTTGGACCTGAGCGTGGAAGATAGGGATGGCTGGGGCAGAGGAGGGGTGTGCTAGCAGAGCGTAGGCTGAGTCCGTCCACCAGGTTCCTGGGGATCAAGTGCCTTTTCCTTACCACAACCTGGCTGGAAAGCCTGCCCTTGGGAGCCCAGCCTTTGGGAGCCCACTCTTCACATACGCCCTGGGCAGAGCCTGGCAGTGCCCTTCATGGAGGCACATGACCTCTCTGGTCACACAGAGAGGACAGCCCTTCATTACCCTCCCCCTGTCCTAAAAGCAGCCAGCACAGGGAGCCCCAGCCTGTCGAGGGCAGCAAGCTCCTGGAGGGACAGCACACTCATGGGCTCCTCCTCGTTCATTGGCTCCTGTCTGCCTACTGGCCAGGGCAGTTGCTCAGCAGGGCCTGGTGAGATTAATTTGTCCCATGGAAGAAAAAGACATGAGAGAGAAGGGAAAGCCAGTGTGAAGGGATAGAAAAAGTGTTTTTCCTCATCAGCCATTTTGCCAAGCTTAGCTAGCTGAGGCTCACCTTTAATTGGTGATGAATTAAACATTGTCCTTTCAACGAACATAATCAGAAAATGTTCTTTTCTGGAAACTCAGGGGCAAAATGAACTTCAGCTCTGAGAACTATTGAGAATACCTTGGGCCCCGTTCTTCTTTTGAGGCCCTTGAGGTCACTGTGAAGTGGACTCCGGTCAGGAGACCATCTTCCTCCGGCTCAAGGCCCATAGACACTGGGAGTGGGGAGGTGCCTGGGACAGCAGGCAGCCACAGCTTCTGTGCCCTCACGTTCCCACAAACAGCAGATTGGAATGGATTTGTCTGCTATGGCCGCTGTCGCGAAGTACCACAGACTGAGTGACTTAGCAAGGATTTATTTTCTCCCACTTCCCGAGGCTGGCCGTCCCACATCAAGGTGCTGGCAGTGTTTGGTCCTTCTGAGGCTGGTTGATGGCTGTCTTCTTTGTCTTCATATGCACTTCCTTCTGTGGGTTGTCTGTATCCTAATCTCCTCTCCTCAAGAGGACACCAGTCACCTTGGATTAAGCCCCACCCTAATGACCCCATTTCACTTAATCACCACTTTAAAGACTGTGTCTCCAAATACAGTCGCATTCCCAAGTAACTGGGGATTACTACTTCAATATATGCGTTTGGGGGGAACACAGTTCAGCCCGTATCAGAGGGCAGTGGCAAACTCCCACAGCCCAGGAATCTCCTGGGGCAAGCAAAGTGACATTGTAATGATAAGAAAGTAAAGCCCTCTGGCCTACCTGGGCAATTTTAAAGCACCCCCCTTTTGCTTTGGAAGAATAAACAACAGCTGTGCTCCATATTTCCTTAGAGTGGTGGCAAACTTGGAGGGAGTCATTTCAGGAGAGGCAAGGAGAGAGTTTCTAATCCTTGTGTTTTACAAGAAAGCTCACCTTTATATTCACTGTTTCAAAATAACAAGTTGTGCAGAAAGAAATCAGTCTCTTGCTGGGGACCCAAGGACCCTGGGGGAGGCTTTCACCCTTGGTAGAGTTTATTGGCTCTGGGAGAGGCGGCTGCAGGTGGAACGGAGGCTCTAAGACATTTACCCTAGAAACAGATCACTGCTTGCAGAAGCGTTCTGGAAATCCAAGGGTGTTCCTGGTATGAAAGGGCACTTGTAGTGCACTTCAATTAAGGGGAAGGCAGCGTTGAGAGGCATTATGTACAGGATAGACTGGAAACAGAGCGCCTTTTAGAAGAAGGAGCAGTGCACTCAAGGTGTCAAGATAGCATCTACTGTAAATAATAGAGCTGCTTGCCAACCTGGACGTTTTTCCTGATGTGAGGAAGCCTTTTCCCTTGTCTGTTTTATTTTTGCAACCTCGAGTCCCTGGGTGAGGCCCTTTGAGAGGTGTTCCCATGAACTGGGACTGACTGCGTTTGATCTACCTGCAGGATGAATGAACGTGACCGCCTACTGAAGAGGCTCAGCCGGAAGACACCCCCCACTCTCTTCCGGGGAGGCTCCATCCATCAGTGTGTCCCCCGTAAGTAGCCCCTGGCCATATCCGCTCAGCCCAACCCCAGAGCGGTGGCTTCGGTAAAGCCTCCTGGTGCTGATAGGGCTGGAAACCAATGCCAAGCCTGAGCCCCACATTAGGAAGTGGAATTTGTGAGTTTGGCCGGAGGCGAGCGTGGCTTGAGTGTAGAAAATTCCCTGAGACCCAATCAAATGTCTGAATGACAAAATCCTGAAACTTAAAATCCTGATGTGGTCGAGATCCTTCTGTCAGCCTCCCAAAAAGATTTTGTTCTGAGACTGAAATTATGTTACTTTTAGATTATTGCCCCCAAAGATAGCAATAGGCACTATTTTAGTAAAAATTAGCTTATTAATTGAAACAGTGACAATCACCGAGGGGAAAAAAAAATCTCTGTACTTTTCCCCGGAAGGCTGCCTGGGTCTAGCGTGGGTGCCCCCCTCAACACCAGAGGCCGGGCCTGGTTTCTGCTGAAGAGACCAGACCTAGATGAGGTGGGGAGCAGAGGGGATGTGCCAGACTCCAGGGGAGGGCGCAGGAGGCCATGAAAAAGAGATGGCTGGCAGAGCTCACAGGGGTTGGGGGGCTTTTTCAGCCATTCAGCCACTTGACTCCCCGCTAGGGGACATTGTTAGCACAGGTTTCCTTCTGGAGGGGCTTATCTCTGCCTTCCCCAAGTGAGGTCTCTTGGCATGTTGTCTGTCCCCTGCTTCTGCCCCTCCGAATCCCACATCTTTTCCCAGAACCCCCTCTCTTGCACATGCACATCGCATCTTTTCAGCAACACTGCTTCCTGCTTCCCTTTCTCTCCCTGAGGTATTCAGAAGGAAACGAGAATGGTTTAGAAGTGCAGAATCCTTGTACCCATAGTAGAGGTAGGAGGGGTCTGTGTCATGCTTGGTTGAGCTCCACCCATCAGCAGATCTTCACAGATTTTCTAACAGAGAGAAGGAAAGGGATGGTCTCCTTCTCCTTACTTTCCAACATGGAATACCAACATGGCAGAGACCAACTCCATGTGGCGCCCCACATGCTTCATGTCGCATCCCAGGGATGGCGTCAGTCCCAAGAGCACCTGGCAGAGGCTTAGGTCAATGTAGTAATTGGCCCAGCAAGGCCCGGTGAGCTGGGTCCCAGCCAAGGTCTGAGCCAGGAGAGCGGTCCTGTCAGGAGGCTTGATGGTCTAGTCCAGGGAGTGAGGTCTGGGGGGCCCCGTTTCTGGAGCTGGGCTGCCCCAGGGTCCTGTTCCAGCTCTGTCACGGTTTTGTGCACTTAGGTAAGTTAACCTCTTGTTTCTATATCTGTAAAATGGAGATGATGTAAGAACTGGGTTTTGGGGGGAGAATTAAATTCAATCATTTATATGAAGAGCCTAGAATAGTACCTGCCAATAGGGAGTCCAGTAACTGTGAGATATGACTGGGTCTTTTCTGCCACTAGTTGACTACCTTTGGGTGACATACATACTTCTCTAAACTTCTGTTTCCTCCACTGGGGGGGACAAAAAGAAATCTAATAATATACATCTAAAAGGGAAAAATATAACAATACACATCTGACACAGTCTTTGTGAGGCTTCAAGACAATGTATATAAAGCACCTTCTCTCTAACAGACACAGAAAAAATAAGGACTGGTTCTGTAAACTGGGGGTTCATGCCAAAGAGCCCTGCTGCTTCTCTAATAACTATTTCAGAATAACTCCAGGAAGAATATGTAAGATACATATATTGAGATCAAAGACCATGTAAGAACTTTCATGAAGCGTCATAAAATGTCTTAAAACAACTACTAAAAAAATTTTCTTAACTTAGGATTTTGAAGAACAAAAGAAAATCAGAATGAACAAGTATAAGAAATTTTAAAAGCCTTTAAGATCACACCACTATTTTAAAAACACCCAGCAATAGTAAGAAACTGATTTGATAACCAAACGTTCTGTCAGGAACTAGAAAGGCCAGAAGTACTCCCGGCCTGTGAGAAGTTCTGCGTTCTTCTCTCAGCCTCTGCCTAGCTATCTCTCCTGTGTCTGTCCGTCCACTGTCTTGGGCCTGTCTTCCCAGGAAACTGGAAGGGAAGCTCGTCTTGGCGGCATTTGTAATTCTTTACAGAATACCAACACACAGTATTTATAACTGAGATCAGCATTTCCTACTGTCATATCCTTGTTGTCCTCATGGTCCTCATGGTCATCCCCACTTCTGTTGCTTTTAGGGATCTTTTTCCAGACAGGAAACTTCTACTCTCATGAAAATGTTATCAGAGCTACTTAAGGGGAGTTTTATTCCAAAATAATGAAAAAAAATGACGTGGTTTTGTGGACTTCACCAAATGTTCTCTTGGGAGAACACAAAACAGCGAAGACACTCCCATCCCCTTCCATCTCCTTACCTTACCCCATTCTGCTCCCAGTTTCTGGCTGCAGCTGAGCATTTAAGAAGCCAGCCCAAGGAAGTTCAGGAGTTGGGTCCATGAATGTCTTTCCCCAGGCCCCTATCATTACTTTGTGGCTGTCAGGCCTTCCTGAAAGATGAATGAAAGTGGGAATGGGAAAAAGCTGGAAGCGTCCTCTGAGCTCCCCATTTGTATGCAAATGGCGGCTCAGTGTCCATCAGGCAGAAGCTGGTGACCTGATGGTGCATCAGGCTGAGGAGTGTAGACTAGAAAGGTGGAGGCTAGTTGGGTGGTTATAGTCTCTCTTGCCCCACTAAAATGTTTCCCATTACAGCCCTAACTCCCACCAAGCCTGGTTTCTGAGAGGAAAATATTGTATCTGAACCAGGAGACACCCCTGTCCCAGGATAACCCTACCAAGCCATCCTCTTTTCCTTCTTGAGTTGCAGAGTTCACTTTAAGTCTCTGCAGAGGCTAAGAAAGTCTAGTGAGGAAAGTCTTAGTGCGCAAATTCTGGAAACATGATGGTAGACACAACCAAAGGGGACTGCTGGACAAGCCCTTTGGTCATGACCTCTGGGTCTCGGCTTACCCCAAGAGAAGAGATTTGCTTGGGAAGGTCCTCTCAAGTGGACACCCAGAAGCCCTTCCCAGTCTGGAGTGGCTGAGTAATCCCAGCGGAAGGCCCTGTGCCAGTGAGACAAATACAAGCCACAGATGCCTTACAGCTCTCAGCTTTGTCTCTGCCCCAGTAGGCATAAGCAGAATGTGAATGAAAAACAGAGTAAGTGAGACAAGTAAGAACTTTTCCTTCGTGCCTTTCACCTGACCAAGGAGTAGACGATTCCAGATGCTCAGCTACCTTTCCCAAAAGGACACTCCCAAACAATGTTTGCTTTTTTGTCTCAGGGAGTCCCCTTCATTTCTTCCTCTCTGCCAGGAACCCTCTCCAAGAAGCCCACCAAAAAAAGACAGGTAGCAGCTGTTCTGTTCGGATGCATTGTTGTGACAGGTTCCCTTCTTCTCTGGTAAGGAGGTGGAGGCTTCCTTTGTTGGTGCTGAGTGTGAACTGGCCCTGAACGAAGGAGAGGGTTCTGTGCCTGGATATTGTTAGCTGTGGAAAAGCCTGGCACCCACTGGGAGGGTGGGAGCTCTGAGGGAACTTGGACCTGACCTGGTGCAGGCCCTTTATTTCACAGAACAGTAAACTAAGAAGACCCAGAAGACTTAAAGAACCCACAGTCCTGTCGCCAGTTACTGCTGGGCAAGGATTAGAACCATCCTTCTTGCCTCAGGGCGTGGGCCCCAGATCCAAGATGAAAGCAGAGCAGGTGGAGAAGGCCACCTTCAGCCTTCTGCCTGCCACCAGAACAGCTCAAGGAGAGCACTTAGAAGGGGTTCCCACAGCTTGGGATCAGAGCCACCAATGCCAGGTTGGGGAGGCACGGCAGGCCACAGACTACCACTGCATGGCCCTCACAGGAAAACATCAGATACTTACTAAAAATGTTCCCTTTAAAGACCAGAGAATAAAAATGATCCATACTGACCACAGAACACAGCCTTGTGACTGGAGGAGACAGTGTTGTTTGCTAGATTCTGCCTTAAAACATCCCAAGGAAAGGCGTCTGGTCTCGGACTGCAGTCAGAAAGCTGCCTTTACCTTAACCTTTCTGGATCAGGGGTATGGAAAAGTCCCACAACTGGATTAGACTTTCTGACCCAAAATAACAACAGTGAAATGTCTGGCAAGGATGACTCCCATCCATGTGTATATATGACTTGTCAACAGACGTGTTCGTTCACGGTCACGTTCTTTGAAGGGGAAAAATAAATCAGGCACTGTGCCCATGTACCACCTCCTGGATTGCTAATCATTTTACTCAGATCCTTGGCTTACAAAGGGAAGTTTCTGAACTATTAAGACATAGAGCAGCAGCATATCTGGTGGGGACAGGGAGGGGACAGGATAAGGGAGCACCTTATCCTAGAGGATCCACCATAGCACAGGCGAGGGAGGGAGCTGGCCCAGGGCAGCCAAAGGACAGCTCCTTGGCCTCACCGATCAAGCAACTCATCAGGGGAAATCTAAAAGTCCTCAGAGAACAGAAGAGAGAAAAGCCCTCCTCTGAGGGCTCCTTGCGTGGAAAGCCCTGAGGAGGAAGTTCAAATGCCCTGAACCCATCACCCCCAGGGCTGTCCTCTGCAGGCCTGTTCCTGAACTGCAGCCCAGGGACACTGCCCCCTCCCAGAGGCAGCCAGATGGGGCTCGCCATGGCTGCCGGCTGCCACACAGTGCAGCTTTTTGGTTGGTGGATTTGGTTTGGTTAGAGATGGAGGTGAGCCAGTAGCTGGAGATCTCTACAGGAGGACTCCTGTCTGTCCTCATCCTTCACGGGTTCTGCCTTTGCTCCCACCCGCCCCTGCTCTCTAGCCTGGTCCTTAGTTGCCTCCAGGGCCACCTGTGCAGACAAGCCCTCACCTCCCAGGGGACCCTCCCGAGCCCTTGGGTTTCCACAGGCGGTGGCCGGGAGAGCTGGGACGCCAGCTCATGGGCAGAGACTCTGGTTTACGAGCACATGCAGAGTCCAAAGTCACCCTGAGCATCCTCTGTCAGAGCTCGTTCCTCCCTGTCCCCACCAGATATGCTGCTGCTCTATGTCTTAATAGTTCAGAAACTTCCCTTTGTAAGCCAAGGATCTGAGTAAAATGATTAGCAATCCAGGAGGTGGTACATGGGCACAGTGTCTGATTTATTTTTCCCCTTCAAAGAACGTGACCGTGAACGAACACGTCTGTTGACAAGTCATATATACACATGGATGGGAGTCATCCTTGCCAGACATTTCACTGTTGTTATTTTGGGTCAGAAAGTCTAATCCAGTTGTGGGACTTTTCCATACCCCTGATCCAGAAAGGTTCACCAGCAGAGAGAATCTTATAAATGCTCCTTCAGTGGGAAGGACCCGTTAGGAAGGAGGGCCCTACTCTGGGCTTCTGAATGCTGAACCTCTCTCTAGAACTGGAGACGCAGGAAGAGTGTAGGTACGCAGGAACACTGCCGGGGTTTGGCTCCCAGCTCTACCACTCACTAGGTCTGTGACCTTGGGCGAATCATGGTGCGGGGCGGGGGGGGACATCACCCCATGCCTCAGTTTCCCCATCTGTGAAATGGGAAGAATACTCTCCCCTACCTCATGGGGTTGCTGGGAGGAGTGAATGAGCTGCTTCTCCATAGTACATAGAGCAGGCCCCACACATAGCCTTCGGTCCTTGTCAGCGCCCGCCGCTAGTATTTTTCTTATTACTGCAACTGATTATGAGAACCAGCCTTCCTGGGCCCTTGGCTTTAGCTTGTGATCTTTTCCCTTATGTCCACAAAAATGAACCCACCGTAATTTCTGATTACCAATCCTCATCCGTCCCATGTACGAGCAGGAGTGCCGCAGGCATCGCGAGCACAGGGCCGGTTCTGCAGACTAGCATGGTGTGTGTGTTCCCCGGCCTGCTCACAGCTTCATAAAGTACCCAGCCAGCCTGCAGCTTCGGGCAGCTGGGGACACTTCCAGAGCAGAGCAAGTCGCCTTTCCTCTTGACTGGCGCTTGGGGAAGTGCAGACCCGGACCAGTGACCCACTGTTTATGCTTCCCAGCTCAGCTGCAGAGAAGCCGCCCCCCCAAACCCCCACCCGGAACCCTCCCGTGCCAGCCTCGGCATCAGGAGCTAGAACCGGTCAGGCCCTGTCTGGTCAGGCCTTGGCCAGCCCCACCCCACACTCTGCCCACATTTCCCTTCCGAGCCTCAGGTCTGTCTGTCCCGGGTCCCCACCTACCTCAGGCTGGTGAGCCCAGGGTGACAAAGGTCCGCAGCCGTCTCCCACAAAGGCTTTTTCTTCTAAACCCAGCCTGCTCCCCCCATTCTCCTCCTCACCAATCCCTGTGTGCACTCCTCTTGCAGACGGGTATGCCTTCTCTCAAGAAGAGCATGGAGCTGTTACTCAGGAAGAAATCGTCCGTGCTTATGACACCACCAAAAAGAAACTGAGGAAGAAATAAGATGTGAGTCCTCCTGATTGATCCCAGGAAAGAGATGCGGTTTGTTGCACCCAGTGTTAACACATCTCTGTCAAAAGAGACTGGTGTCAGCAGCCAAAACACCATAAAACCCATTTCTGTGGCCTTAGCCAACCAGTTTGTTAGTTCCACGTTCCCTCGCAAACCTGGAGTAGATCCCACAGGGGAAGCCATTTTGTTCCCTTCCAGTTCGTCCGCAGTGCTTGGCCTGACTTCTGTTTACGTTGTTCTGAAGCATTCAGCTGTGCTCTGTGAGGTGTGAAATTAAAAACGTTATGTTCCACCAATATTTAAACATCAGTAGTAGTTGTTCTGGGAGAAAGGTGAGAGTTTTATGTTGCGTGAGAAACCCGCCTTGCGAAATTGGAGCGGGGGCACGCTTCCTTCCTGTTTTGTTCACTCACAGAGGATGTCCGCCAGGCAGCATGTAAATGCCACTGTAGGCAAGTTGATGTCTTGCTTGGTTCTGATTCCTCTCTTGTTTGTATGAAGTGGGCATACACTTCTTGATGGCAGTGAAATCCCCAAAATGTCTGTTATCAGGCTGGTAACCCTGAGAAGGCGTCTCTGAACCTCTTAGCCATACTCCCAGCAGGGCAGCGGGCCGCTGTTCGAGCATCCTCCTGCTCCCTTCCCAGGTGCCTTCTGGGCTGTCCGGGCTTCCTGCGTCTCGGACCTCCTGCATGGCTGACCGCTGTGCTCAGCGCATGGCAGCTGGTGCGCAACCAGCCCAACCGTGCACTATTTCTTGTCCTAGCACAGACTCAGATATGGATGCAAGAAATCTCACCTGCCACTACCCTTGTCCTAGAACTAAAGAAAAGCAGCCTAGCTATTTGCGCATATTCTTAAATGTTTATCTTGCTCTCCCAGGACAGGGAAGCCTGCGGGTCAGTGTGGGGTAGAATGCTTCGGCGCTCCCACTCTGGTCAGGCTCTCCATACTCATTCCCCAACCTCCAGGCCACTGAACCTTGGGCATTCACTTCAGTGAGACCCACACGTGTTTTCTCGGGAGTTCAGACCCCATTTTGGACTTTCCTTGCTGGGAAACCAGTGAATGTGCAGCATGTCTCCCCAGTGAAGGGATGCACCTGTTGCTCTGTAACTCTAAAATTAGGCAGGATGAATGAACCCAGTGGGAGAGTTGGGGCCCCTGAGGCTGGTAGGGGAAGACCACCATCAAAGGGGACAGCGAGAGGCAAGGAACACAGAAACCCGGGGAGGGGGACAGAGAGGACATGTTAGCCAAGACTCCTCAGTGGACATCGAAATCAAGCCCTGAATCCCAGGCAGTTGTGATAATGCTTAGCGGGAGGCTAAACAAGACGCTGGCACACAGTTTTAAGCAGCAAGACTTCCAGACATTTCAAGGAAATGCCCTTTTCTGTATGGATGAGGTTCCCATCCTTATCCAGTCAGTGGTAGACGCAGGCACCTCCGAAAAGAAAGTGTCCTGACTCTAAGATAAGGAGGAGAAGTGCTGCATCACTGACTTTCCAAATTTCTGGGTCCCGCCTTCTAAGTTTCTAAGAACTTGCCTGCCCTTGGGCACGAACACGAGCACCTGGAGCCCTTAATGAATGGCCAGCCTGGAGGCACGATCCCTCCTCTGGTCCTTGCTTGCCAAACCAGGTTTTTGGAAGGCTTCACACAAATACTTCTGGGCCGTTGCTACTGCTTAGAATGGCACCGTTCTTCTGGGGGATGGCTGCGCTAAACTGGGAAATAAAACAACAGTGCACTTTGCTTCCTCACCCATTATTTTTGGAGCATCCGCGTCTTATTGGGCATTGTAATAACTTAAAGTATGATTTGCACAGACAAAGAAAACTAACCCTTTGCTTATGACGTGACCAGGATCCAGGGAGGGCTTAAGGGGAACCAGAACATGCAGTGAACAGGTGAGGCTTAGAAAATTGCCATTCCTTCCTCCCCGAGTTGGTAAACCGTTTTTACTAGAGCACCCAGCGAAATGAATCCCTGAAGGGCTGCGGTGCAGGAATTGGACCCTCCCCCACAAAATGTGCCTGGAATTAACACAACAGACCGAGGTATGGGTCTTTATTGGACACCCAGAGAAGTGATATCCTGAAACTAGAGGAGAGACAAAAATTTGAATCAAATGTTCAGTGGGCCTCCTCACTCTGGTTTCATTTGGAACTAAGCCTCTGGGAAGGGGAACTCAAACTCATTCTTTGTCAGACACTTAGCTCTTTCTTAAACTTGAAGCCTTCTGAATTAGATTTGTGAATTGCGGTGTGTGTATGTTTTGTTTTGGGTTTTTTGTTTTTTATTTTATTTTTTTTAGGCTAAAAGGCAGTTCACATTTTCTGAGGTTTGAGTATGTTTTCTGATTCTTTTGACAACTGGACTAAACTGTTTGCGATAATGAAATGCGCACATAGAGGAAAATATTAGATGGGATGCCTTTCTAGTCTATTAATTCTCATATGCAATCAAGCTATTTGGTGGCCAAATGACTAAATTGGGCTTTGAGGAGGAGCAGCTGTCACTACGTGTGATGTATGATATTTAGCTGTGGCCAACTCAGGGGCTGTCATTTGTCCTACCTTCAAACTGAGGTCAGAGAGTCACACATGCCCCTCCCCAGGGAGCGGGGTGGACTGGAGTAAGTTGCATTCTCTGGCTGTCAGCTCAGTGGAAATGCCACATGGGACTTGTCACTCTGCCACATGGTAAGTGACATACGGGCTGGCAGGTTACACTTGGTCAGCACTATAAGGCCGGCCTCTGCATTGGGCTAAAGTAGCAGAATCCACTGAGGCCTGGCCTTGGTCTGCTATCATACACAGACTACCGACTCTCATTTAAGAGTTTATTCCATTCTGGCTGAGTCTGCAGGAGGAAAAGAGCAGCCCTTCTGTGCATTAGCTCTGAGTTCCACTGCACACCAGCAGGGACCAGCAAGGGGGGCCAGGGAAAGTGCCCATTAAAAAGGCAGGATAGGAGAACAGACTAAACCAACCATTTCTGCCTGGTTGTCAGAAGCAATCTCATTGCTTATGAGAATGGGCTTCGTAAAAATTTTGGGGTGTGGCTGATGCATCCATCCTGCCTCTCTGTGGAATATTCAGGACTTCTTGACCAGTGTTACGTTCGCCCATCTCCCGGCACACATGTGATTATTTGGGAATTAGTGGAGTATACAAAACCTGTGCTTTGGAGAAAGGAGATGCTGTTGCTTTAACATTTGGAGAGTAATATCCTCAAACGTGAACCTGAGTTTTGGCAGAGCATGGCTGGGAACTCTGTTGACATTTTCTTTTCCTTGACAAGGCTTCAGGTCTTGCTGTAGGGAGCTGGCAGTGAAAATCAGTGATAACTTGTCAAGAAGCAGTGAATAATGGGGGGAAAAAAGTGAGTATGAGTAACCAATGTCTGAAAATGCATATAGATGTATATATTACAGGCATTACGATTGCATTTTTTTTAAAAGAAAGCTATAGTCTGTAATCTCTATTTGTTATAACAATGACCCTTTATCTCATTTCTTGAAGAGAATTTTTTATCCTATTTCTGTTTCTAGGGGTTTATGTCTCAGATCATAAGTTGAATAGAACGTTCGCAAAGCTCTGCAAGGGTATAAGGTAGTCTTTCGGCTTGAACATGGGAAGGAAGTGCACACGTTTCAGCTGGCATTTGGCTTACTACCAAGGGTCATTGTCCCAAGGTAATTCAAGGAGCAGTCCGGCCTCAGCATTTGAAATGTAGACTTCATCTCCAGGGATCCATAAAAAATGGGAACAGGGAAACTGTGGTTAAACAGAGCCCAAAATAATAAACTGGCGAAGAAATGAGTTTAGCAGATCAAGGTAAAAGATGGCATCCCCCATCAGATTTGCTAAATACCTTCTTCATTCCAAGGCTTTTCTTAGCTAATTTAGTAATGCTGGAGATAGTGAAAAGAAAGCCATCCCCTTTCAGAGGGAAAACGTACATCTGCTGTCTTTGCTGCTGGTGTTCCATCGGTTCAAGACAGTTGTTGGTCTCAACACAGCCTTGGGGGAGTTTTTGTAGCCTCGTCCTGGCCACTTGCCCATCCTCAGAGGCAATGAGGATGGCACTGAGGATTTCCAGTGGGACATAGAGGTGAGAGTCCATAAGTATCCCCGAAAGAAAGTGACCTGAAATACTCTAACTTGATGCGTTGTACTCATTTATTTTTTCTCAGCATCCCATATCGTCCCACAGTACACTTTTCCTTTGACGTTAAAGAGCTTGCCTGGATGCCAAGCCTCCATTAGCACTCTGTGAAAGGCTCTCTCTTAGCTTGTTAGGTCTGAGTGTGGCCACCCGGCATGTAGGCTTCAACAGGAAGAAAAGGCTACTGAGCCAACATGTTCAGAAGCTGTGACACAAAAGGGGGCAGAAAAGAGGGGCGAGCTCACCCTGTTGCCCCACCCCAAGCATAATCCATAGCTGTTCACTCTGACAAGCACCTCTGTCCCCCTGATTGATGGGAGACAAAAGAGTGATTCTTTGAACACTGGCTGGCTCATTTTCAATGACAATCTCTTGCCCTAGTTGCCTTAGAGACATCCACTCTGCTCTTTCTCTCAGGCTCCAGACCAAGAAAAACATGCTCCCAAGATTAGCCCATCGGCATTTCTTCTGACCTGGCTAAAGAAAGAAAGGAGACCTGTTCCTTTTAAAAGTCAGGAACAAAGTGTCAGGTGGCTTTGATTTATGACAGAAATAGGAAGAAGAAAGTTGAGGTAATAGCGCTATCCAAATAACACTGCCCAGGAAACTGAGGGGTCAAGAGAGCTTATCAGTGGCCTTTTATAGGCCAGCTCTTCCGAGTAGCAGAGAAGGGGCCAGAAGGGGCTTCCAGAAGAAGGGGGACAGCCTGAGTGGATGTGAGGTTCGCATCCTGTGAGGATGTGAACCCACTTCCGATGGCGTCGGATTCAGTCATCCCCGAAGACCGCCATGCAACCACAGGTGGACCGGTAAATACCAGTTAAAAAGCAGGAAAAGAGAATCTGCCCTGTCCTAGGGCTTCTCTCCTTCCTGCAAGATCCCCACACAAGTGGGTACTTTGCAGGTTTTTCATTAATAAAATCAGTGTGTGTGCCGACATGCATTCCTCTGCCTTCCTTCTCCCATGTTGCCGGCGATTGCTGAGTTCAGAAATGTGCCCGCTGCTTCCCTAGGAAGCCTCCCTCTGAAGGGCCCTGCTACCACCCAGCCAGCTGCAGGGGTGGGGCCCTGGGGGCTCCTCCAAGAGCAGCTGGGTCTGCAGCCCTCGTGCGTCCTCTTTCCTGCAGGTCACTGAATTGCTGTTTGAACACAACATCTTTGTGGCGTCTTTCTCAAGCCAGCGAAGCCATGTGCCCTCCTGTCTGCTGTCGCATCTCTGCTCAGATTGCTTAAATATTGTTTGCGACAGGGAGGTTTTAATCTGGTTATGCAGAGGGAAGCAGGGCTGTGGGGCACGTTTAATTGGCTCCCAGCAGAGTAGTGAGTGCGTCTATGGAGTGTGGGGGGTTTTTTGTTCCCTCCCTCTAGAAGTGTTACCATTTTCACGTCCTATTAATGTCCTCTGGTTGTTAAATTACAGCCGCACATTGTAGCGGAGCTGG